TCTCTCTGTCAAATAAATAAATAAAATCTTTAAAAAAAAAAAATACCATGTGATTCAGTAATTCCACTACTGGGAATTTACCCAAAGAAAAATAAAACACTAATTAAAAAAATATATATGCACCCCTATGTTTATGGCAGCCAAGCTATGGAAGCAACCTAAGTGTCCATCGATAGCTGAATGCTTAAAGAAGCTGTGGTACGCGCGCGCGCGCGCGCACACACACACACACACACACACACACACAAACACACACAGGAATGTTACTCAGCCACAAAAAAGGACGAGATCTTACTATTTGCAATAACATGGATGGACCTAGAGGGTATTATGCTAAGTGATGTAAGTCAGACTGAAAAAGACAAATACCATATGATTTCACTCATAATGTGGAATCTAAAAAAACAAATGAATAAATAAATGAAAAGCAGAATTATATAGATAAATACAGAGAACAAACTGATGGTTGCCGGGGGCGGGGGTGGTGATGGGCAAAACGGGTGAAGGGAAGTGGGAGATACAGGCTTCCAGTTATGGAATAAATAAGTACGGGAATAAAAGGTCTGGTGGCAGACGGTAGCTACACGTGTGGTGAGCACAGCGTAACATACAGAGATATCGAATCGCTGTGTTGTACACCTGAAATGAATGTAACATTGTATGTCAGCTGTACTCAAATAAAAAAATTAAAAAAAAAAAGAATATACTAAAAAAAGAATGGGGTCTGCTAGGACAGGGGGAGGGGAGAAGGGGGTGAGCCTGAGGAGAAGGGGAGCAGGCATCCTCCTTGCCTTACACGTTCTCTCCAGTCCCTCTGTTCTAGTCTCCTTGCTCCCTACCTGCTAATATGGACTAGCAGAAGCATACAAAAAAGTCTAAGAAAAGAGATGTTAAAAATGGGATAAGAATACTAAGTCGGGGTGGGGGGAAAGAGATACAAGCAATGAAAAAACATGTAACGCTGTAATGTGGAGTTAAAGGCAAGGATTCACATTTTAAAAATAGAAAATGAGCATTTTTATACTAGCAAATTGAGATAAAAGCAGATCACGAAAAATAAAATTAGAGAAAGAGGAGGAGTTTAGATGCTTAAAAGAAATGAGATGTTTTATAAAAACTGAAGAAACGGTATACCAAAATCCAAAAGTAATAAATAAAGAAGGAGAAAGATAGTGGCTGGCCCCGCTTGCGCACTTTCTAAGCATCAGTAATGAGGACGTTCTCTGCATCGTTTCGGTTATTCCTTTAAACACCCCAGGACCCGGTCGGATTTTGCACGAGACAGAAGGGCATCTTAGCCAGCTTAAGTCATCTGTTAGAAAGTCACTCAGCTGATTTCTGAGCCTGAACTCTTGACCATCTCACTATATCAAATAGCTGGACCTTAATTAAAGAGGGAATAGAAAGACCGAAACAGCTCACAGAACTGAAAGCTGCCTTGTGCTGAGAGCCCCCAAGACAGGGTTCCACAGGTCTCTGGGGGGGTGTCTTGTGGGAGAAGAGCAGGGAGTGCAGAAAGTGAAGACCCCCACCTCTGGCTTCTGAAAGCCAGTCTGAAACCACATGCTTGGCTTGAGGAGGGACACAGGCACTGAATCAACAAAGGACTGAGCAGCTGGGCCGGTAGGACTGGGCTGGAATGCAAACCAGTCCAACAGCCAGGTGTAAGAAATGCCACAGCTTAAGCTCAACGCTCTCCAAGCGTTGGAGAGGTGGTAGGGAGTGGTGGGGACTGGGGCAAAGTGACAAGCACTTGACCCCTCAAAGGAGTAACCGCTCAAACTGATAGTTGCATGAAGAACTGTGGATTCACTGTTGCCAGTCTTCTAAATTTTCAAGAGAATCTGGAAATCTGAAGTTTTATGAGAAATCTCCTGGTTTCTAAATGTTGGCAACTTATTCATTTTTAAAACACTGTGTGTTTGCCAACACCATGCAAGCCAAATACACCAAATATTCTATACCCTGGGCAGCCTCTTGGGATCTCTGAAGTAGACAAACACCAGCAGCCCCTTGCACATACACAGCGAACTCTAGCCCCTGTAGTGCCTAATTAGCCCAGGGCACGGTTCCGGGCAGTCTTAAAAGTGAGTCAAATTGAGACATTGGTACAGCAGTTAAAAGATGTTTGGGCAGGGATGCCTGGGTGGCTCAGTTGGTTAAGCGACTGCCTTTGGCTCAGGTCATGATCCTGGAGTCCCAGGATCAAGTCCCGCGTCGGGCTCCCTGCTCGGTAGGGAGTCTGCTTCTCCCTCTGACCCTCCCCCCTCTCATGCTCTCTCTCTCTCTCATTCTCTCTCTCAAATAAATAAATAAAAATATTTATTAAAAAAAAAAAGATGTTTGGGCAAAGGCAAGGCAGTTCTGCCTAGAGGGAAGAGGTGACAAAGCCCATCAGGTAATGATTTTACCTTTTGGACATGCCATGGGTGATTTCTTCTAGCCCCCTGGAAATAGGAAATGTGGAGACCAGGTGGAAGATAAGGTTCAGAAGATACAGAATGGGGGTCAAGAGCACAGGGGGGATGGCTTTCAGGAGTGAAAGTGGGGGAAGAAGGGAGGGTACGGTTCTGGGCAGGTGTCCCCAGTTGAGGATGAAGAGCTAGTAAATGGGGAAGGAGTAAGGTCACAGATGGGGAAGGGGGGAGTTACTCATGTCCCAGCTGAAGACACATCTGCTGCATTTTTTTCTGAGAGCAGTTCAGTAAAATAACAGGAACAAAAGCCAAGTTGCAAAGGATGGGGATGGGAGGTTTGGATAAAGGGTAAGTTAGGGGAAGAGCGAGCGGTGGGGGCAAGAATGGGGCTGTATAGCCTTTTACTTTTTCAAATTTTAATTGTGGTAGAATACACGTAACATCAAATTTATCATCTTAACCATTTTTTAAAAAAGATTTTATTTATTTATTTGTCACAGAGAGAGCACAAGCAGAGGGAGAGGGAGAAGCAGGCTCCCTGCCGAGCAAGGACCCCGGGGTGGGACTCAATAGCAGGACCCTGGGATCCTGACCTGGGCTGAAGGCAGATGCTTAACCGACTGAGCCACCCAGGCATCCCCCGTCTTAACCAT